TGTATTTAGGATCCTCTTTTAAGTTGCCTCAGCATTGAGTACTACAACTCTTAGGTACTTAACAATTTTTTGAAGGATGGAATAAATCTAAATAGTGAATCTTTTATTATAGTATAGGAAGCTTTTGATTGAGTCCTTTCAGGGGTACAAAGAGATAGGAATGAGAAAGGGGAACACATAGCCATTACAAATCACACACTTAATTTTGGGATTTTGGGTAGAATTTAATAATTTTTTAGTTGCAAAAAAATTAATCATAATTTGACTTATAAGAAATTAGGAGATAAAAGAATGAATGGACAAAATTATTTTAACCCAAAAACAGAGATTCCAACGAGACAAGATAATAAACCAAGAACAATCAAATAAGTATTTATGCAATAAGGGAGATTATATAACAATTAAATATTACAACATAATATCAGTAAAGTTAGCAGTGAGTGTTGGCCGCAAGAAATGATGAGAGTGTTGGTAGGAAGAAGTACCTAGAAGTGAAGCCTTACAAGAGGAGCAAAGCGATGGTGTTGGCCGCAAGAAGCGATGAAAGTGTTGGCAGGGAGAAGCACTTAGAAGCGAAGCCATGAAGAGGAGCGAAGCAGTGGAAGAAGAGTGGAGCAATGGAAGAGAAGCAGAGCAGTGGAAAAGGAGCAAGATGTGTAACGCTCCAAATTTTGTAAAATTGTTTGATTATTAATATAAAGGTCTGGGTTGCTATTTGAATGTGTATTTGATTTATGTCATGATGGTGTGAATATAAGTGTATATGTGTTTGATAACGTGGATGCATATGAATAATTGAATGTTGATTTTGTATAGGAAAATGTTTGGTTACCTTTGGGCTGGACTGTTTGAGAGAATAGGCTAAGTTTGTGCTACAGGGGCATTCTCGCTATAGCGGAAGGTCCTGAGCGAGAAGCATGATTCTTAGAGAAGGGTGCATTTCTAGGTGTAGTCTCGCTGTAGCAAGAGGGTCTCGCTATAGCGAGATTTTGCAGAAACCAGAGTGCAGTTTTCTCTGAGATTTTCACTATAATAAGAGAGGGTGTCGCTGCAGTAAGGTTTTACTCGTTGTAGCGAGAGTGTCGCGACCAGAAGGGTATTTAAGGGGTTTAGGGTTTGGGAAGCTTGTTTCTCATCCCTCTCTTCAAACTCTCTTCGATTCTTTCTACTCCCAACGTTATTTCATCGTTTAGACTGCCTCTAAAGCCATTTGGGTGTAAGATTAAAGGTTGAAGTTTTGTTTGGAGCATTTGGAAGTAAGTTATATGGATTATGGTTTCGGGTTTTCATCCCTTTCTTTGATTTCTCGATTCCTCCTAGGGTTTTTCCTATATTTAGGATGAAAGTTCGTGTGGGCAGCACTTTCATCGTAGATTTCGTGTTGGGTCTTAATTTTGAGGTAAAGGGGAACTCTACCCTATATCTTTTTGGTTTTGAATTCGTTTATTTACTATAAGTTACAATGTGGTTGAGATAGAATGTAGAAATAGGCGTGTTTTGATAGAAGATTCTTGATTGAGTATAATGAATTGACTTGACTATGGTAGGATTTTTATGAAAATTGGGTGTTTGATTGTAATGTGATTAGATGTTGGCATGCGTGCCCTGTGTGAAAGTGAATATCATGATGTGGTTGAAAATGTGGGTAATTGTTTGTGAATGCATGCCATTTGTTAATGTTGAACGATATGAAATGGTTGTATATGTGTGGAAATGGCATGTCGATTATGATTGTAGCTGTATTTGAAATAGTTAGAAACTATGAATGGTTCAGCGATACACTAGGGGTGTGGAAGATGGGGCAGTAGAAATAACTTGGAGAAGAGAGGGTGGTAGTGACACCAACAATGAGCGTGGGTGCACCACAGGCCACACACTTTCCTCCTGACTCAACCTCTGACTAACTGGCACGAGGTCGTACACGTGTCAAAAATAAACTTAATTACTATAGCACGAGGCAAGCAACCAGGATCGTTTCCCAAAGGATCACAGAGACGAATTAGCCTATTTGGAGAGTATGTAAGACAGAGGGTGATATAGAATCAATAAAACAGAGTCAAAGTTGAGAGGATTAAATCAATTGGAAAAACACTTAATTCAAGAATCAAGAAGGAATAAGCAAACATTTAATCACGGAATCCCAAAATACATATTATTCAAATTCGGTGGTTAAAGACTAGATTCAACTGAGACCTCAAATTAAATCAAGGGATTACACAAAAACCTTCATGCGTTTGATTAACACAAATTCAATTAAACTTAGAAACCTCTAAAAATCTAATCGAACGTATTAACTTTCTAAACCACTTAATTAACCTTACTTTTTGAAAATCAATTCATGCACTTCAATCGAAACAAAACAATGAATTGAATTGCCTCTCAAAAATAAATCGAACAAAAACCTTCACTTCATGATATTAATCAAAATGGAGAGAAACAAGAAACCAGGAAACCCGAATTCAAATATAAAATCTACAAACCGATTCTCATGAATGTTGCATTCCGTTGATCCTTGAACTAGATAAACGAAACTACTCCTCCATGGATGGAAGCCCACGAAAATAAAAAAAAAAAAAAACTATTCAAAAAAATGAGTCCCCAAGTAAAAAAAACGCGCCTAAAAAAAACTCTCAATCTTTTATTCCAATCTGACTTTTCAAATCTCCCGCAAAAAACTATAACTTCCTCCTTCAAATTCTCCCAGGAAGCGTGTCTATTATGATTTGTAATTGATCTGTCATTCAAGCCACGGATGTTAGCTTTCAAATGCCACTAGAATGAGTCGAATCGGACATCTGTGGGCCGAGATATGACCCAAACACTGCACTAAGGTCCAGAATCCGTGAATTGCATCTTCCAGCCCAGTTTTGGTCCAATTCTGTTTCTGGATGCTATGATTCAGCCTTTAAATCTCCATGAGTGTTGTAGGCCCATCTCTTGGCTTTCAAATGCAATTGGAATCACTCAAATCCGATAACTACAGCCCGAGATATTACCTACACAATAAGCAAAGGTCAAAAAGCTCTAAAATCCGAAAATTAACAAAGTTTAACAATTAAGCCCAATAATATAAAACTCAGCCAAAACAATACAATTAAGCACAATTCACAACTAATTAGGCTTATTACAAAACGATCACAAGTGTATAAAAATTCATTGATCACTAACACCTTTGATTGGGGCTCAATACCACACACGTTGTATCTGTAGGGCAGGAGCTATCCGGCGACCACTGAGTAAGTCCCTGAGGTTGAGGGCATCAGGAAATTGTTATCACAGTGCCATAGTAAGCGTAGATACATGTAGTGAACGCACATGTGTGTGGATTATTTGATGGTGCAGTGAACGCACCTGTTTGTGAATTGTTATGAAATGTCAAAAAGTAGTATATGTGTTGTGTGATGTATGAATTGAATCTTGTGATAAAATATGTGTAATGTGTGAAGGTGAGACTTTGTGCTTGCATGTGATAGTGTAGAGTACTCACCTTTACGTTTATTTTTTAAGTGACCAAGACAATCAACATCAGACTCAGTGAAAAGATGGATGATCATGCTATAGGACTCAGAATATTTATTTTTGGAACTGAAATTTATTAATTAAGTCCTATAGCAATGATTGATTCAAATTTTTAATTCATCCTATTTTGAAATACTTTCACAAACTATGTATTAAGAACCGTTTGAATAAAAAAAATTATTATTTCTATTTTGCAAAATTTATTTATTTAAAAATTAAATTAAGGTGTTACAGGATGAGGCACACAGGTTAGAAGAGGAGCAGATCCAATGGAGAGTTAGGGTTGAATCTAGATTGATTTGAGTAAATTTTAAGATTTTGGGTAAGATTTCTGGATCAGGGCTAACCCATAGATAACTCTACCTTAACCCATATATTATGGGCTAAATAACTTAAGGCCAAATTATTATTTTTAATTAATATAATATTTAAGGTTGAATGGGTTATTTTAGAGTTAGATAGGGTTGGCCTCGAGCCTTGACCCTTTTTCACAGCTCTAGCTTTAATTAGTATGCTACTTGATTACTTCCGAAATCAATAAATCCTTGGGTAATTGAAAACTAGAACTCCCATTCCTCCTAATTAAGTTCAATATCAAAGAATTTTATTTTATTTTTTACTTAATTAAGTTTACTAAAAGACTTATAATTGACAAAATTGATGAGCTTACATTGAATGTTAAAATGTCAATCATGGTTATTTTTACGCCCACAAATTGAAAAGTTTAAAATATTTCCAAGCCACACACATCAAAATGTTGGATGTATTTGTCAGGACATTTCTTGATGTCAAGAAAGTAGCCATCGAGTTTGTGACCTTTGAACAGTGGTAAGACTAATGATTTTAATAGTTGATAGTTGCTTCTATCCAATTTGATAGAGTAAAAAATGGAGACAACATTTCTTGGGCTTGAATTCGAGATTTCCATGGTGTGAAAAAAAGACCCTTAATACTACGAGAGAAAAACTATACAAAGGTGAGATGGTTTTGTGTCATTGTCTAGAGTGTATTATACAATAGAGGGGTTAAGCTTGTAATCAAGGGAAAAATACAAAAGTTATAAATATATAGGGATACATAAAATATGACACTGAGGCATAAAGATCTGAAGATAATTTTTGAATTTACAATTTTTCAATATAAGCACATTTGTTATTTTCTAATATAGGCACATGTATCTTAATTAGATGTTTCAATCTTGGATGAGACTAATTATTTTCTTTAATTTATATCGATAATACATACTATATTTATTAATAATATAATTTAAATATACTAACAATGTAATATATTTTTTTTACTGTTATCCAATTATGAATTGTCATATTAAAAAAATTATTGATTTTTGTAATAATTATGTATAAAAATTATATTTATAATATATTTTACTTGATTGACAGTGTGAGTTATTCAAAATTAAACTCATCTATTAAATAAAGCAAAATGAAGATTTGTAAAGAGCAAAATGATGAAAAATTATTGAACATTGATTGAGAAATTATTTAATTGTGCCTCTTTTAATAATCTAAGAACACAGAATGACGAGTCCTAAACTTAACAAAGCTGCTCCTTCTTGTGATACCACCATCTCCAACTGTGGGAAAAAGAAGATAAAAAACATTAGTTGAAGTGCAAAGGTCGGGTATCTTCATATGGGTTTAAAATGTTGTGGTGGAATATTTATCCTTCGCATTAATTTAAAACAATGATAAGATGATTTAAGCTTTTCTACTAACTTTTGTTTGTTCTTTCTCCAGGTATGCAAAGCTCTTTCTAACTCTAAAAAAAAAAAAGTAATACCCATAAATAAATACAAAAATCATGGCAGATGTTCCAATAACATTCTTTAAAGTAGGAAACTTTTTAATATTTTTTTTATGTTTGATTTATAAAACAAGTAGTTTAAAAAGTGTTTCTAAGAATAAAATTCTTCAAAAATGTGTTGCTCACCAATAGTAATCCCATCTGGGTTTAACTTTGGTCATGCGGTTTTCACCATGCGGATAATCAGTTTGAGCCCTTCTGGCATTTCTGAAAGCACAACAACCAATGGAATATATGCCTATGAGAAAAACGAGCACGACAATGTTAAGAACAGAGATCTTGTGCCAGTCCCTTCTAATGTTTTCAAGTACACCAGCCTTGCAAGAGTCACAATCGTAGCACAGCAGTGTGGGAGCATTGTTCCAACGGTAGCAATCTTGATCTTGGGTCACTATTGTTTCCATGTTGTAACTGCACCCTGTTGGTGGCTTACAACATCCTGACTGCACGAACCCAAATTGGGATTAGCGTTCATCAATTTCGTTTTTGGATTAAATTTGGCACTAATCAATTCGATGACAAAGCAAAAGAAGGAAATATTTTTTTTCTTTTGATATATTAAAATATAAGAATAAAATTTAAAGATGTAAAAGATGTAATAAATAATATATTTGTGACAGAAATATAAAAAAAATGAATAGAGCCTAAGGAATTGAAATATTGTGAATGAAAATCAAAATTGTATTTGATAAGTAACAAATAAGAGTAAACTTAATTTGTACAAAAATAATGGATCGCGCTTGAACCAAAACTAATGACAGGCAAATTATTTTATGAAGTTCTTTAAAATTTTAAAATAATGAAAAGGAATAAATGAAGGATATTTAAGAGAGGAAAAAAAGATGTGAAACAATCTGGATTTTCTACATAATCATGATTAATTTGAGGTTCTCTTCTTGAGTAACATGTGATAAGTTTATGTTAGAAGTGAGCAGAGATAATTTAATTATTTTAATATATAATTAGTAAGCCTCATAGTCAGCTATGATAAGTTCTTACGTAACAAAAAATATGTCGTTTTTCTTTTAAGAATGATTGAATCCCATGAGTATCGTCCATCTCTCATATTTACTAATTCAGTTGGTGAAGTTCTTTCTACCCCACAAATATGAGAGGGACAAGATAAAATTTAGTTGACGGTTATAAGCGCCCTTGCAATTAAGAGGATTAAAGCATAAGAAAAAGGGCCCAAAATGATTGAAAGCAAGAAGGGTGAAGATATAATTTACTCTATAACATAAAAAAAAAAAAAAAATTGCTATGAAAAATCATATATATTACATTCCTTAGTATAGTTGCAAAGAGATAACAAGAGAAAGAAAAAAAAAAAAACTCATTACCTTTCAAGTCATTTGATTCTAGTGAGCTGGTAAATTAAAATACTCCTAACATTCTTAAAATTAACTTCATATTTATTTCAACCTAATTAAATACTTATAAAATATAATTATCATTTTTCTTCATAACATAAGGAGAACTTGTAGTAAAGTTTATATTCAATATTTGAATATAAACATTGATTTCATTAGAATTTATGATTTATTATAATCTACTTTATTTCATTTAAATTTGTTTCCTTTGTTATAATATGATTCAATTATGATAATATAATTTATTTATTTTTATTATTATAATTTATTTTTCCTTACTTACTTTTAAATATATTTTCTTATAAATAAAAACTTATGTAATTCAAAACGATGAAATTGAAAGTTGAAGAAAGTTAGAGTTTTCTATAAATTGTAAGAGCTTATCTTTATTTATTTTTTTTGCGCTAAAGAACTATTTTTATTTTATTAAAGAAACTTGTGATAATCAACTCATAACAATATAATTCCCTCAACCTAAATATTAAGGTGGTTCTATTATCCATTTCATATCATTTAGTAATAAGAAATTTAGTATTTTGAATTTTAAGTGTAAGCTTTCTTTATTATTTGAAAAAAAAATTATAAGAGTTCACACAAAAAAGTTGAGTGGTAAAAGAAAAGAATAGTAATATATAAAAAGGACCAAAATTGACAAACAAAAGTGAAATCCTATTATAAGATTTAAGAAAATGCAACATTCATTTTAATTGATGCATTGACCAATTATCTTGAATATGTGAACAATCAAATGGTAAAACAACTTGTTACTAGAAAAACTCATTCTAGCTAGAAAAGAAAAAAATAAGCTAAATGGAGACTTAATCAAGATAAATGAAGTTCAAAGAAAATATCTCTCATGTTAAGTGTGTAACATGATTATAGATGGAAGAAGTTACACTAATATAACTAGTATTATACAATAGTAAAGAAATTAAACCTGAGTATCAGCGAACATCCTCTTCTTTACAAGTTGCAATGACTTAATGATGGTGATAAATTAAAGATTAACATATAAGTTCTCGTGTCTTTATTGATTTAAAGTATAAAGACGAGGTTTTTTTGTGATATAGTGCCTATTCATGTAAGATATATACCATTGGATTGTTAATTATAAGGTATTTTTTTATATAAAATTTTAAGTGATGTTAAACATGATTCGAGGATAAATCTTTTTGAAAAAAGAAGGAACAATAAAAATAAAATAACAAGTAGTGATTAAATATGGATACAAATTAATTTGAATTCTCTAAGTGATCAATTTAAATTTCAAGTAAATTTATTAGAAGAGAACAAGTTAAAAACTTCAAGAAAGCTATAAATGAACAAATTCAAAAAGCTTGGACTAAAAATGAATCTACTAAAGAAGATTTTGCTTAGATGCATTAAAATAAAAAGATAGATTTCATTAAGATTTGTTATTTATTAGAATCTATTTTAATTTATTTGAATTTGTTATTATAGGATTTGTTTTCACTAAATAAATAATATTAGAATTTATATTAGATTAAATTATTTTTTTATTACTAGAATTTGTTTTTGATTATTTGAATTTATTTTCTATTATTTGTTTTTTAACATGTTTTCTTATAAATAAGAAGTTATGTAGTTGAAAAATGTGAAGCTGAAAGTTAAATGAAATTATCGGGCTTTTTTTTTTTATCTAGACCACGAGTATTTTATCGCAATTTTTTTTCTATGGGTTTTTAGTAAAGTTATATTCAAATACGAAATTACAAGTTAAGTTGAAACAATATCCTGCTCATTGATCTAGTATTTGGTGGTAAAATTATTTTCAAATTGTGAGAGTTTTTATTTTTTTTTTGGACTAAAAAATTTAATTACGACAATCAAATCATAACTTATCACTCACCCTTTCATCTCTTTTTTGCGTCAATATCTCTCTCAACTTGAATAAATGATGATCTTATTTTTTGTTTCATATCATAAAGTACAAGAGTGACAATTGTGTCCAATTATCTACAAATTATCCAAACTATCTGAATATATATATATATATATATATATATATATAATCAATTTATCTATTTGTAAAGTAAAATAATTAAATTCATAAAAATACAGTTGTACCAAATATTGAGAGAGAAAGTGATTAATAATTTAAATTAAAAAATAAAACAAGACTTTCATAGCTAAATTTTCTTCTTTATTCAAGACCTTCGTATGTGGGTAATTTTCTGGGCAATTTTCTTTTTCAATCTTTTTAATTAGCATAACACATAAACGACAATCCCTTATTTCTCTCTTGCAAGCATAATCCACGAAGGGACCAGTTAAGCGAAGAAAAAAGAAAAAAGAAACACCAAAACGGATAGACATGCACAAATCCGCCGAATAGATGCGAGAAGAAGCTCAAGACAAAATAATTTTGAAATTATAACCTCATCATTCCGTCTTGGCTTTTTCACTTTTCTTTCTTATGCTTTTCTTTTCTGAAAATATAAATGTTGCTGGATTCCTTCTATCCCTATATCTTGATTTTTGACATTTATAATAGTTTTAATATTCATTATTGAATTGATAACCTCATTTAACTGTACATCCACTGTTTGATGAATTGCCAAAATTTAGAGCGAAGTAGTTAGATTCATGGACCGAGAGAGAGCAAGTAGAAACCGAAAATTAAGAGATTAAATAAAAAAATTAAAGTTAACAAAATTATTGACAAAAAAAAAATATAGAGAGAGAGAATTTAAAGAGAAAATTAGAAATAAAAATCAAAACATAATCATTTTAAATTTAAATTATTTAGATGATCCAAACTCTAAATTGAACCAAACCATCCAATTGCCAAACTGAATAAAGTATAATAACAATTAGAGAAACAAACTACTGATTAGTGTACCTGTATTGGAGACATATCCCTCCGCACGTAATCAAGAGGGGTCCAAAAGGCAAGCTTAGAACAAGTGTTAGAGCCCAAAATGCAACTCCTTATGGATCTCCAATAATGAGGATCATTGATCCGATTCCTCAACCATGGTGAATAATCCTCAAGACGGTACTCCTTATAGACCCTACCGGGCACTTCCACTCCCCCTCCCTGCCCAGTCACAACAAAGCCAAATACGGTAAAACCAAATAGTGTAGCAATAAGGAAAAACATCACCACCAAGTATACCCAAAGCGCCCAAGCCACTTGAAAGCATGCCCCTATGAATCCTGCAAGTGAAATCACAAGCACAACAAAACCTATAACCAGAAGTGGGGTTTGAAAAAAAATTTCACAGGTTGTGGTGCTCCTTGCCATCCATAGACCCGCACCAATGATGGGTATTGATGCCAAGAGCGTAAAGAAGTTCAATAATCCGATCACTGTGTTGCTGAACCGTTGCATTTCTCTCACCTTAGCTTCTCTTTCTTTCTCTCTCTTCCCACTCTACCTATTCTTTCGGTTGTGATTCTTGCATGGTCTTCTGCTTTCTTTATCTTAATAGGGACATGGAAGCCCTCGTTTTTTATTTGTTTATGTCACTGCAAAAAGCTTCGAGAATTTTATCATTCCTTTCTACTTTTCTATATGTTCTTGCTTTCCAGTATTAGGAGATTCCGTAACTTTTTTTTATTTTCTAAAATGTTACTTGGATACCTACTTGGATATATAAATTTATATTTTTAATGAGAAATGAGAATAGAAGAGGAAGCAATAATAAATGTGATAAGGAATGTAACGTGATAGAAAAAAGGGAAAAAAAGGTATTTTTATTCTTAGCTATTTTATTCACTCTTTCAAAGTGGAGATATCCTTGGGGCATATATCCTTGCTAATCAAAGAGTATCCATGAAATAAATGGAAAAAGCTACTCTCGAATGGCATTGGAAGTGACACTTATGTAGTAGCCCTGAAATTAATTTACACTTTTATTCATGCAAAATAGAGGTTATCATGGATCAAACAAACAAAAATCTTATGAGTCATTTTGGGACTTCAAGTGATTGAGTTAAGTATGATTAAAAATTAGTGTTATGATCATTATCTGTTTGGATATTGAGAAATGTTTTTAAATCTAACCGATCCAATCGAATAAGTTTTTTTCAATTTTCCATTTAATTTTTTTATTAATGTTTTAAAAAATAAGAGTACATTTAAAATATGTACTTGTATACACAAATGACAAACACAGTGAACCAACCTCATTAGCCTAGCCAGAGTTTACTTAGTTTATTGGGTTTTTGGCCAAAATAGGGTAGAAATAAAAAAAAATTACCAAAATAGGGTATTCTTGAAACATTTTCTCTTCTGTATCAGGGGATATTTTTGCTACGTCAATATGAGTATTGATTCTTAATAGATAAATAAAGAGTGTCAGTCTCTACATAGCCGACACTTTTTTTATTATTATTAAAAAATAAGTGTCAATCCTTTAAGAGTCGACAGTCACGTTAACGTGGTAAAAATAACTTCAAACAAGAAAAATATTTATGGAATGCCCTATTTTAGTAAAAAAAAAAAATTTATTTCTATCCTATTTTAGCTAAAAACCCTAGTTGATTAGAATTGGACCCAACCTGGAATAATTAATTTAATTAGTTCAGATTTTACTTTTGAGCAAACTCAACACAATCTAATTAGGTATCATTCTCAATTAGGTTCCGGAAATATGTCTGATTATTAGTATAAAATAACTTTTCAAAGTGATAACAACTAAGAAACTTTCCGGTTAGCATTTTTTATTTTAAATATATAATTTTAGTCTCTAAATATATAAATAGATTAATTTTAGTCTCTAAAGATATAAATACATTAATTCTAGTCTTTCAAACTAGAAAAACATTTTTTTGGAATTGCTACTATTACTATTTTATGATATGTATGCATTTAGTCATCACTTTTGGAACCATTTTGATGGTGTAAGTAATGAGTTATAGTTAGATGTATGTCATGTCATTAATATGTGATAACAAACTTTACTTTCAAAAATTTATAAATATTAAAATTAACAAAAGAGATTCTGTAGAATATATAATCTCGAACATATTAAAAAATAGTGCATAAATATGTTATTATGTAATAATTGATCGTAAATTATTAGCACATTCCAAATTTATAGGAACAAGAAATAATCCTAAACATTTAGTTGCCCACAAAAAAAAAAATATTTTCTCAGTTATTCCAATTGCGGTGATACAATGTCCATATTTATCCGTAACTGATGTAATAAGAAAATTTGCAGTGGCATCAATTCCCTTGTGCATTTGAAGAAGGCCAGAAAAGAATTTACAAAAACTAATGCCCTTTGTGTAGTTTACAAGTGAGAGTGATGTTTGAGCAAGACCATGGTCCAGTGCTCATATTCTCTCAAAGATGCCCTCACTTTTTAATTCTCGCTTATTATCTTATACGAGCTCTCAAACATCCAATTTTATCCAATTTTACTTTTATAGAAATAAATATAATTAAAAATTTAATATTATAAAAAAAATTATAATATTATAAAATAATAAAAATATAGTTAAAAATAGAAAATATAATTTATTCTAATAATTTTATTAAATAAATAGTATCAGAAATAATATCATTTCAATATATAAAATAAATTTAATATGATTCGAAAAGCAAATTTAAAAGTTAAAACCTCTTCAATTATTATAATAAAAATTTTTAGGAATTAGACAATTACACAAATAATTCTCATTATTCACATAAAATAATGTCAAAATTATTTTAAAAAAATACAGCAATAAATAATAGTTTCTTTAAAAATTATAACTAAAATAAATTTAAAATAAAATACACCTAAAAATAAAATAAAATAAATTTCCTTTCATAAAAGAAAAATAATAAAAATATTTTTTTCTTTTAAATTAGAATATTAAAATAATTTAATAATAAATAACTTATTTATCTTAATAAAAAAATAATAATAAATTTATATTAGTTATAACAAATCGGCCTTTTTTATAAAATTTTATATTAATCAATAATTTGTTAGGTAACATTACTTCATCTTATAAGGACAATAATTTACACAAAGGGATATGGAATCATGTTCGACAGAATTTGTTTTATCTGCTTAAATTCAAAACTCTTTGATGACTCCTAAACCTCTCACTCCTCCTCCTCGTATGTCCTTCAAATATAAAGTCATAAGTGCTAAGACTATTCTGCCTTCACGTCCATAAGAGAATCTCATTGTGAAAGGGCTTGTTCAAATTGAGTTAGAAGGTGAAGATTGACTTTATCCCAAAGTCTTAGTCGTGAATTCAATAATATCTAAATTTGTGCCCCATGGATAGAGGTTTTAGTTATCAAGCTCTTGGGAAAACATTTGGGCTAAAAACTTATGTAGGACTGTTCAAATAACCAGTTAAGACCAAATTAAATCTTGAATCTAACCACGCTGTTAACTAATGAACTAAACTTATATGAGAAAAGCGAATCAAAACTATATGTATGAGAGTCTGGTTTGAGAACCGAACTGTTTTTAAATGAAGTTTGGTTCACTTCAATGGAACCTTTTATCAATTTTCACTCTTTCGTTGTCTTTTTCCTCTTTCTTTCAATTTGTTAATCTTTCTAACAATTTTCACTCAGTGAAGGAAAGATGAACTGCTATAAGACTTAGATTGTATTTTAAAATTATGATGTAACTGAATTGGTCTTGTAGCAGTCTTTGATATAAATTTGTAATCCTTTATTGTTTGAACTGTTTTATGAAACTATATGATGAGACCTTTTTTTATTTAAATGAAAATTTTATTACTCCCATTTTGTAAAATTATTACTTGGAAATTAAATTAAGGTGTTACACTTGATTGCACCCAAGATTGGTTAAAAGGATCATCTTTTTCATTGTTCTCCAAAGTTGATTTTGAGCAAGTTAAGAGATTTGAGCAAGGTAACTTAACATTGATATTTTACATATTTTTTGTTATGTTATATTTTAGGAAAGTAATGAGTCAATGGCATGGTCTTTTGTTTGTTTGTAGATGTTGTTTCTCAACATGGTGTTCCTTATTCAACAACTATTAGTCTTGATGATTGAAGGAGTTTATGTTTAGGATCATTATGTGTTGAGTCTCTATAAATAATTTTGGTTTAGACTTTTGCATAATGTGAACTTAGAAAATTTTTTAGTTTATGTTTGTCATCATGTACTTCTATTTGATTGAATTTTAATTTTTGTTGGCATATGTGAATTGGTTAGCTATTATGCACTCTGTATTGTCCTTAAAAAATGTATGCTTCAAAAATGTTTATGAGCTTGACATCATCTTGATCCATAGTATGTCAAGCATACTATGCCTTATATTAGTTCATGTTGTCATGCAACGTCACTGCTAGTCAACCATAAGAATTCCATGGTTCATGTTCATATTTTTTTTTTACTTTATATTGCTCTCTTGACATTCATTTGTTAGATTAAAGTGATTCTGCATGTGTAACGGATAAACTTAGCCTTTTCGGTTCAGTGTAGTGATGTTCCATGATACAATCTGACAAAGCATTTCATTTCCTAATATATTGTCAAATCTGTATATACATATATATATATATATATATATATATATATATATATGTATGTATTATTCTTCTTAAATTGTGTTGTATATGCTTGGACTATATATATGAATTTTCATATGTTGGAATATAAATATGTGAACTATATAGTTGTTGAACAAAGAGCCGTGCATTTGCAGTGTTGTGTGGTTGCTTTGTTTGATGCAATTAGCAGTGCGGGTTTATGATAAATCATTAAGTGTGTTATGTGTGTAATAACTTAGGGATTATAGCACATGATTTGTAGAAGTTATAGATTGAATAATGATGTTTGGTTCAATATGAAGTAATGTATGTGGACAACTTTTGTTTGATTAAAATTGTATAAGTAAAATGGTATGAATTTAGGCATTGAAATTGATTGGGTTGATTAAATAAAAAATGAAATACATATGGTTAAATGATAAATAATATATATAAATAATTTTGTCTAGTTAAATTTTTTAAGAATGAAATATTACTATTTTGTTACATGTTGTATTAGAAAATGTCTCTGCATTATTTTGATTATTCTATAAATTTTAAGAATTTTAGTAGGGCAAGGAATGCTCACACTTACAAACATTTTTAAGTAAGAAGAAATAAAGAAATTAATACGTTCTAGGATCATACTTGCAAGGGACGATAAGAAATGAATTGCTTTGTTAAGACCGATTATTTTGAAGAATATAATTATATTGATTAAGTCTCTAATTAGAAGTTGAAGTATTTTAATAAATCTATTATAAATGATAATTCAAGATTTATGGGTAATAATTAATAGTTAATTATTTAAAATCTTAATTTACATCTAGTACTAGTTAAAAATTTATTTTTTAAAAATATTTTGATTGTATCAAGAGATCAAAAAATATATAATGTAAAATTTTAGCTTTCATTCTAATTATAAATTTAAATTATGAATGCATGTTATTTTATC